GCTTCTCCCTCTGACCCTCCTCCCTCTCATACTCTCTGTCTCTCATTCTCTCTCTCTCAAATAAATAAATAAAATCTTTAAAAAAAAAAAAAAAAGAAAAGTGTGAGAGCTGGATGTGACTGGGTGCTGGAAGGACAGGTGGCCCCTTCACTTGCCCACTGGTGCTGGCTCTTGGCAGACCAGGGCCCAGCTCTGCTAAGGTGACTTCTGTGGCCATGTTACTTGCTGCCTAGCTCACGTGTGCATGCTCAGATGAAACAGTTTTGCGGCCTGATCCGCACCCAGGGGCTCTCCTGCGCGGCAGCTCACCAGGCTCTGGTGGCTCCAGGCGGAGTGTTTGCTGCCTCTGTGGTAAGGTGGTTGGTGAGTGCACCACAGGCCCCGGGCCCTATAAAGCCTTTGCGCTGTAGTCTCTCCTCCTCTCCGCGCCCCCCCCCTTCTCCAGTCTCCTTCCTACATCACCCCTCCATCCTTCTCCGGTTCTCCTTTCTGGTCTCCTTCCCTCCTTTCTCACTGATGTTTCTTTCCTCCTCTCCTGTCTGACTTTACTAAATGGATTATAAAGAGAAACAAAGGGAGAGTTGTAATTTCCATTGCGTTTACACAATACAGTTTTATAGTTTATTAGTAACAACCCCCCAGCTTCAGCAAAATAAACATTCGCCAGCAAAACCCAACTAAAATTGGTGTGAGATGTTTTAAAATTTTGTGTGAATGTTAACCTTTTTTCTTTCCTAGGGCTCAGTGGCCCTTAGTAGGATTCCAACAACAGGACAGCGTTTGTCCGTTTGACGTGGACAACACAAAAACAGGGCATAGAGCTCTTGCTTTATTCCCTGCTGTGGGTTCCTCAAGCTAGGAAGCAGCAAGCCCTGGACTGTCCCTAAGAATGGCTCCAGTATGTGCAGAGCGGGGCCATTGCTGGGGCAAGGGGTTTGAAGGAAGTTGACTCACAAACACAGCACAGTCCTTGCTTCCGAACGCCCATCAGCATGACGTGGCAGAAGTTGCAGTAGGTGGGCTTCTTGAAGTGCTTCATGGTCCAGGCATGCCTCCCGTCCCCCTTGGAGCCCTGCAGGGATACGAGGGAAGGAGATGCTGAGCGGGCAGCCCTGTGCTAACAGACCCCAGGGGGCATCTCCTGGAGGTTTCTCTTTTTTCTAAAAAGACTCTTCTCATATATGGAAGACAAGATAGTCATTTATTTAACTGTTTTAGGGGTTAAAAGAAGCGCAAATTAAAACAAAGGCCTTTGCTTCTAGAATTAGCAAATATGAAAAATCAGGGATATCTGAGTGGGAATGTATGTATGGGGATAAAATATGTGGCTGGCACATATGTGCCTATGTGGCTGGCAGAAGGGTAAGTCAGAAACTCCTTATCTGTCTTCTATCTATCCATCCATCTGTCCATCATCATCCTTTAAATGTTTATAACTTTTGACTTAAAAATTCTCCTTCTTGGGTCTATCCTAAAGAAATAATTTTTTTAGTATATGTGCTGCTGAAGTGAGCACAAGAAATAATTTTTTTTGATTTATTTATCTGGGAGAGAGAGCATGAGCAGGGGTCGGGGGCAGAGGGAGAGGCAGAAGGAGAGGAAGAAGCAGACTCTTGAGCACAGAGCCCAATATGGGGCTTGATCCCAGGACCCTGAGATCATGACCTGAGCCGAAATCAAGAGCTGGCTGCTTAACCGACTGAGCTCCCCCAGGAGACCCCCTCCCCCACAAAGAAATAATTTTTGGATGTCAGATGAACATTTTTGTGCTCTGCCAGATGTTTAATCCAGCACTGTTTAAAATAATGAAAAATTGGAAATATCCTGAAGTTGCAATATTATCCAAAGTTTAGTTGTGGTATATCCATATCATTTATTGTACTGACCATCAAAAAGATACTAACAAGATTATCTAATGGCATGGGAATGTGCTCATGATACAATGCTAAGTGAAAACGGTAGCATGCAAATTTGATGATATATTATAATCTCAGTTTCACAGAAGATCTTGGATGGGAAGAAGTGTCACTAAACTGTTAACAGAGGTTAGCTACTGTTAGCAGTACCACAGATGTATTTTAATCTCTAATTTCTCCTCTCTTTGGTGTTTTCCAAATTTTCTACAGTGAGCATGTACCGGTTTTGTAATCAGGAAAAAGTCATTTAGTAAAAACAATATACTTCTCTCAACTTTCTGTACACTGATAAAATAGTAAAGAGACGGAGATAGAGAGAGGTTTAAACCACTTCCTCCTGACTTGACCCAAAAGCCAATTCATCCTTATCCACCAGTTGAGCCAAGCCTCACCCAACCACCTATGAGAGGGGGTCTACTCTCATATGGCTGGAGGAGGGAGACAGAGACTATTTCTTCAACATTACCCCCAATGTCTCCCCCAAATGCCAAACCAGCCTCGTAGTAGACTGTAATTTACATCGGCAAAGTGGCAAACAAAAGCAAATGTGAACGTAGTTTGTATTAATCGGAAGTTTTATGCACTTATTTTTAAATATGCACTAAATTGTAAGTTTTTACATTTAATATTCAAGATTCTAAAGAAAGCATCCCTCAGTGTCTTAAAAATCACATTGCTAGGTGTGATTAGATCTTCCAGCTTCTAGCTTGGGAGCACAGCCTCCCTGGAGGCTGTGGCTTCAGGAACATGTCTCCGTGTATGTTGTCCCTGAACTTTTCTCTTGGGCTCCATCAAAAGATTAACATCTTTGGGCCCATCTTAAGTGCAGTAAGAACTACTGTAATAAGGTGGGGAGGACTGACAGGTACACAGAGTCAGTGTGCTGGACTCACACCCAGTTCCTACTTCTGGGCACCTCTGGTTTGGGCCGGTTACAGCAGCCAGATCCATTCTTGTGCCCAGATTGTGCTCCTTATGGTCTCTAGAGAGGCCCATCTGCTTTTCCAAATGCTGGTCTCCTCCAGGGGGAGGGCTAAGCATTTTCTTTCTCACCACCTCAAAACCCTGCTTCTTTCAAGGTCTGAGTTTTACAGAATAATAGTCTTCTTATCTAATGGTTTCCACTTTAGTAAACAGATTTACTAATTGATTAAATGGTTCATGAAAAGATTGATTCATCCACTCATTTGATAAACATCCAGAGGATTTCTGTAAGAATTAAATGAAATAATGTAAGTCAAGCTCCTAATCCAGTGCTTAACACATTGTGAATTAAAACTTTTATTAAGTTTCTCTCCGTGTTAGATACTAGGGAACACAAAATAAGTAGAGTGTTTTCTTACGTGTAAGGAGGTAGATTTATACCTATACCAGAAATGAAGAAAGAGGGCCCTGGAAAAGTTATATAAACAGTCCAAGACTATAAAATAACAAGCAACTGATTTCATAATTGGGGGTCTTGCTGGCCTGAATCCATGCTCCTTTCATCCCTCTCCCCTACCTATATATTATTCTAGGGTTTTCCTTTATGGACAGAAGGGACGTTACAGCACTCTTCAGCACTGCTTCTTCGCCTAGCCTGAAGGGCTGGCATTTTACCCTAAAATCCCTTTATTAACTAAACCAGCTGACTTTCCTTTTCTCAGATACTATTTTCACAGATACGGGGGTTAGAAGCAAAGGGACCCAGATGAAGGCGAAAGTAATATTTCTGCTTGGGTTACAGCGCCATCATGTGGCCCTTTCATTTCCACACAGCGGAGTCTGCAGGGTGTGGGCGTCACCTCCCACGTGCCCGCCAGGTACCCGGGAGGCAGACTGTTTCTCCTATGCATCTGTGCCATTCAGAGATCTCCAGACTTTTTAGTGGCCACACGTGGGTTTTGAAAAAGCTAAAGGGGCAATGTGATTTTTAAGACACTAAGGGATGCTTTCTTTAGAATCCTGAATATTAAATGTAAAAACTTACAATTTAGTGCATATTTAAAAATAAATGCGTAAAACTTAAAAACTACATTCACATTTGCTTTTGTTTGCCACTTTACTGATGTAAATTATGCTCTTCTACAAGGTTGGTTTGGCATTTGGGGAAGACACTGGGGGTAATGTTGAAGAAATAGTCTCGGTCTCCCTCCTCCAGCCATATGATAGTGGATCCCCTCCATGCAAAGAGTTGCATCACGCCTTGGACTTAGCAAGTCCAAAACAGAATTGAAAATAGAAATTGCTTCCTTGTGGTTAAAATGTCTCATCTCCATTCCCATGTTTCAGAGAAAAAATCAGGAATGCTGGAACTTCCACTTTGATTCAAGTACTAATAGCAGAAACTATGCCTTCCTTATCTGAGCACGCCATGTCCTAGCTCATGTGGGTTCTTACACATGGTAGGTTCTTGGTAAGGAATCACTGAATGAGGTGTGTGCTCTTCTGGAATATGGAGGTTGGCCTCTGGTACTAACTGGGTGTGTCTTGGGGCAAGTTCCTTTACTTCTCTGGCCCTCCGTTTGTAAAATGAAGAGACCAGCGCGTGGATCACCAAGATCTTTTCCAGCTCTGACTTTCTGGGTCTTAAGGAATAAGAAGGCAGGAGTTGTGTAGCTCCTGGTTCCTTGATTTCTACTTAGCACTTGGGAAGAACTGGACACGCTGAGATGATTGCAGGGTTCTTTGTTCTTGAGTGTTGGGAATGGAGGCTCAGCTTCTGAATTGCAGAACAGTCAGATGGAGACATTATGGGTGATGGCAGCCAGCTAGGGCTAACCCAGCTGAACTTCCTCTCTATGGCATTTCAGTTATCTCAGAGAGGTGTTGTCCACAACCTGTGTAACTGTCCTGGTAAATGCTTAATGTCACTAAATTGTGACATTAAGCATTTACCACCATCTAGTTCTTATCTTTCCTGCCTTGTGTATGGAAGTTATTTCCCTTGCAAGATAAGCAGACTAGGTCAGATGCAGACATATATTACCATGGATTTCACATTAAGCCTCTGTATGTATCCCCTACTCTGATCAAACTGGGAGGTTTCTCTAATACACCCTGAACTTTCTTTCATTTAGGACTTTGACCAAGCTTTTCTCCCAGCCATAAACTTTCTCTTCTATCATCTTCCAATAGCCAGATCATACCCATCCTTGAGAACCAGATCCAACATCCTCTAAGGACCTGACCTTTACACTCAAGAACGAGATAGCAGATTCCCACACGTACTTCGAACCAGGCCAAATGACCTCCAAGGCTTCTTCCCACTTTCTTACTCCTCAGTGTAGGAGGTTTAGAAAGCATGGGATCTTTGGAGTCAAGTGCAAATAAATTCTGGCTCTTCAGGGCCAGAATTTCAGTTTTCCATCTATATAAATTGGGGAAAAATATGTATCTTATCTGGTTGTTTTGATGGTTAAATAAGATAGTATCTGAATAACCTCCAACTTGCGACAGATCGGTATCTTTCCTTCCCTTCCTTCTTTCGTCAACACTCTTAGTGTATTTTTACCTAATCTGTTGAAAAGATGGGATTCTTCCTTGACTTCCCCCTCCCCCACCTGGTTGAGTCTAAGCTTCTGGTAGGGGAATATTGTATTTGTGTCCCCTTGCTGTGCTCAGAACAGTATCTTTATTTAATTTAGTAAATGTCCTCAGTCAAATGAATGAATATATGCCAGGCACTAACAGGTGGAAAGAGAGGGCTTTGAGGCTGGCCTAGAGCCTATGATGTGCCCATTGGGGAAGTTGGGACAGAAGCCAAGGCCATATATAGATATTAATTTCCACATGGAACCTGATGCTTCTGAAAGACAAGAGCTCTCTGAGCTCAGGCTTGCTGACTTACAGAGTCGTCCATGCCCAGCAGGACCAGCAGTGGGATGGTGGTCATCCCTCCATGGACCCATTCCTCTAGAGACACAAAGCCGTCCCGGTCATAGTCCATCCCCTGCAACATCTCCTTCAGTATCTGCAGAACCCAGAGAGCAACAATTGTCCACTTTCATCCTGCACTTCCCTGCCTCCCTCTGTCCCCTTCTTTCTCTTTTGCTGTGTTATCTGTTTTGTGTTTTACCCCTTTGTCCTCTGATTTACAGCGGGCAGAGCAGCGAGGGAGCAAACAGGGGTGAGGAGGCCAGTCCATGCCCTGCCCTGCCCTAACTATGTGGACTTGGGCAAGCCACCCCCACTCTCTGGGTTCGGCTTTGCTTACCTATAAAATGAAAATAATATTGCTATGTGTGTAGCAATGTAGTGAGGATAAGAGAAAAAGTATATAAAATGTCTCATCTAATACCTGACTCACAGGAACCCCCAAATGTAATTATTATTATCCGGTGACTGAGAAAATCTTTAAAATTCTATCTCTAAATTCCTTGAACCCCTGTTATAAAAATTTAGCTCTGGTGGAAAGGTTAGGGAGCATTATTAGGTATTATTATTATTTGAATTATGTCTTTAATTTTTCCTATCAGAGAAGGCGGAAGTCAAGGTATAGGACCCCAGAGGAGCTGCCTATAAGAGGGTAAGTCTGGGAGAGCATGCACGGTAAACATTTGTATCCTGAGTGTCCTGCTTTCATCTTGGAAGCTCACTTGGACGTCTCCCCTTGTTTCTGGAAACTTACAGGTCTCAGCTCCGTGGGATCCCACTCCAGATACTGGGCAATGTGAAGCATCTGGTTGACAATTCGGTCCATCTCCTAGAAAACATCAAGGGATGATGAGGGAGAACCACTGAAGATGTGTTTTCGAGAGCAAGACTCAAAACCAAACCCTGTGGGAAGATGGCCAGGGCAGAGCGTGAGAAGCAGCAGTGTAACATACTGGTATTTCATAAGGAGCTCATCATTTGTCTCTGCTCTTTATTTCAGCCCTGACTACAAAGCTCTGTGGAGAGTAGATGCTCACAAGAAGCACAGAACATGGATAAGCCAGGGGTATGCAGAAAGCTCACTGAACACTGACCTCTTCTTGGACCCCCCTGGACTCACCTTCCTTCCTCAATTCTGCACTTTGACTCAGCATAGAAGGAACCCGTTTTCTTCTTTGTGATTCTTGCTTCCTAAATGCTTATAAACCAAAGCAGCTCTCTCCTCCCTCTTTTATTCCTCCTCATTCCCACAGCTTTAGCAGTTTGGGATCCATCTATATCCCTTAGGGGTCAGTTACAGGTGGATGTAGGGCCACTGCATCGGTCCTAGCTCATGTCCTAGCTCTATAACTTAGATTCGTTTGGGCATCTGAGCCCAGGACTCTGTGAACAGGAAATTTATAAGAGCTATATTTGCCTGGTGAGTGAGGCTTTTTGTTTAGTACCAAGGTCAGGCTTTATTTAAAACCTCACAGAATTGTTGGATGCAAATGCATCAGTGCACCTAGAGTTGCTCGGAAACACGCTGAACTGAGGAAGCATTTATTTGTATCTCTTGGGCATCATCGAAGATGTTCATACTAAGATTGATCTGGGGAGACACGTTGGTGAACTGAAGCAACGTTCAAAAGTGTTACTTCCACCAGGTAGAATGCTGGATCAAAATAAGCAAGCTATAACCCAGGAGGGATTTAAAAAATTGTATTTTATTTAAATTTTAAAAAATTCATTGCAAAACCACAGATGAGACTATAAATAGGAGGTAAGGTAGTGGGCTAAACAGTGGGGACAGGGCTCAGCAGAATTTCCAACAAAAAAGAGCTTGGTGGATCGAGCTGAGTCCCAGATTCATTGATTAAAACAATGTAATTCGGGAGCTGAGAATCAGCCTCAGTCTTGGTCTGTGTGAATGGGTGGGCATTTTCAGGAAGCAGAGGAAGATTTTAGGAAGACCTGTTCCCTCGATGTCTACCCTGGTCAGGCCACATGTGGATACTTAAAGAGTCATGGAGGAATGGGTTCAGTTCTGCGCCATATTTTAAAAATGGCATTGACAAACTAGAGCTTGGTCAGAGTGGTTATTTAAGCCTGCCTTGTGAGAAACAGTGTAGAAATTGGGGGAATTTGAGCTTAGAGAAGGTCTTGGGATAGATGTGACAGTACCTTCTAAATCTTAAAGGCCTATTGTATAGGATCGGTTTTCCACTGGTCAGCTGTCCTGGTCACCTACATGAGGCACAAGTAAGATGAGGGATGTAGGGAAGGCTGGCCTATTATGGTCTCACTGCTGGGTTGGGGGAGGGAGAGGGGAAAACAGAATCCTGTTTTGTGCTGAGAATTTCTCTGGCAGACTAGAGGTGCCTTTTGTGTGGGAAGGAAGCCCTCTCTATCAGTCTCCCCAGTGGTGGAATGGCTGTCTTAAGGTAGAGGGTAAACTCTCCATTCCTGCGAGTGTTCACATAGAGCCTGGACATCCATCTGCCAGAGATCCTCTGTGGAAAATTGAATCAGATATTTCTATTGGGACTCACTTCTGTCTATTGGTGTTGTCTTCTAAACAGATCTAAAATTTAACCACTTCTTACCATCTGCAATGCTTCTACCCTGGTACACGTTACCATGATTTCTTCTCTTGTTTATTCCAATAGCCTCCTAACTGGTATCCCTGCCTGAGTCCCTATGGTCTAGTCTCAACATAGCAGCTAGAATGACCTGGTTAAACTGAAGTCCTGTCACCATTCCTCAAGAGTAAAAGACAAACTCTTCCAATCACCTCTACGTCCTGCTATGTTCTGTGAACTCTCCCCACAACCACCCCTGGTCATTATTTCTCTGATATCATCTCCTATTACTTCTTACTTTGACCTCCTCACTATTCTGTTCCATCATTCCCCCTCATTAATCTACTAACATTCCAAGCACCCCTCAGGACCCTTGCACTTGTGGTTGCCTCTGCCTGGAAGGTGCCTCCTCTGGATATCCCCATGACTCACTCCCTCACTTCCTTCCAGTCCCTGTTCACATGTCCCCTGAGGGAGACCTTCCTTAGCTCCTCTATCTACACCTGCAGCTCCCCTGAGCACTTCCTTTCCTTCCTTTATTTTTCTTCCAGCACGCACCTCTCTCTGACACGTATCTTGCTATGCTTTGTAGGGCATGTGCTTGCACTAGCATGAGAGCTTCATGAGGGCACGGATTTGTGTCTGTCGGCTTCACTGACCTAGCCCCAGGGCTCGAAGTAGTGCTTGACGTATGGCAGACACTCAATAAACATGTGTTGATCAAATGCTTGAGAGTCTGTGATTCTCTGGTTGTTCTCTGGCATGATGCAACCCACAGCATTGTCATGAGGCAATAGGGATCCCTGAAAGGAGCCCTGGGGTTTAGAGGACGTTGGGATGATTTAGTTGGTCTAGTGGACTTGTTTCCTTCTTTCTCCCATGGGTCTGGTGTAACTCCGTCCCATGCCCCTCAACCTCACAGCCTTTCTGTTAAGGAGCCCCATCTCTGCCATTGCCAGTGATGAGTGCGGGGCCTGTCTGATTCTGTTTGCCTTCTCCCCTCCCTGCCTTCTTCCTTTTCCATACCCCCTTTTACTCCATGATCCCTGTCCTATCCCTGCCTATTCCTGAGGGAGAGGGGGCGGGAGGGGGGTGTCTCAGGCTTTCCCAGGTACAATGGGATGGGACCATGTGCTTAGAGCAGAAAGAACCAGACTCGTTGAGCTAGTGCCCTGGGTATGAGAGGAAGACTGGGAAGTTAAACTAGATAAGATACTAAAGCATCTCCCCTTCTGAAATGGTGTGATCCTGGGCTTCTGGAATGAAAAGGTCAGGTGGAGTTCACTCTCTCCCAGGCTGGCCCTATTGGAAGTAGCAGTGGGGGGTTCTACCATGATTTCTGCAGCCCATATTGAGACACTGCTACTTCTAAAAAGATGGAACTGGGAGTTTTTAGACTCTTCCTCCACCTGCTCCCCTATCCCTCAGATTTTCTTAGTTTCAGGAGGGACATTTGGAACGAGAGCTTACCGCTTGATCCAGGAGACCGTTCTCATCCGAATCATAGAGACGAAACATGACTGCAAGAGACACAGAGGTGTGGCTTGAGGTGTCCTCCAGGCACCAGGCATGGGCTGTGGCTTTGATGCTGCTGGTCTTTAGCTCAGTTCTGTCACTGGGGCGAAGGCCCCTGCAGCCAGCTCACCCACCCTCCAAGGTGCAGAGTCTGACTTCTCACACAGAGGGTGGAAAAAGGGAGGAGAACCCAGCCGTCTGGCTTCTGGACCTGTCTAAGCAATAACTCTGTGGCTGATGAGATCCAGGTCATGGTACGGTTCCTAGTAGAGCATGCACACCTTGAAACATGCTCTAGTGGATTTAGGCAGACTCACATCTTGGCCTTGGCCTACCACCTCCAAGGCATCAAACAAGTCATTTAACTTCATTGGACCATGTTTATCTGCAAGATGGAGATTACAGCGGTTTCTTTCTCCTAGGTTGTTTTTTTTTGTTTTTTTTTTTAAATGAGGATTAATACGTAAAGTATAGGACAGTTTTTTCTCTGTAATAATTTTAATTGTTCTATATAAGAGATATAAATAAGCATACAATGTACTACAAGATATAAATAAAATAAATATATTAATACCTTTAAAATGTTCATAAAAGAAACATGCCAAGTAAGACTACATACATGGTAAATATTTTTGCTGGCCTTTTTAATACTTAGAAAGGTTTTAGGAGAAGATTTTGACAACCTTGTTCTCTTTAAAAAAGATTTCCAGGGAAGTTTAAATTGATGTGCTCTTTCTCTTAACATCCCCATAGCAAGCAAAGAAGTTCAACATCATTTCATTAACCTCAGGATTTAATGCCAGCTATGATCACTGTAAAAATCGATATTGTGACATCTAAATGTTTTTGGCCTCATTAAAGATTTCAGAAAGATTGAGCTTATATGATACAGACTTCTATTTATGTGCCCTATTCCTTAGTCACATGGTGCTTGGAATGGAGAAAGCACTCAACAAATGTTATTTATTGTTACTTTCTTTCATTAACGAACATTTATATGTGGCATTTAATAAGTATGATGCACTGTCCTATGCACTTTATCATTCCTACTTATGGAATCCTCAACAAGGCTATGAAGTAGTTACCATTATAGAAGCTATTGTATTTGTTTTTCTAAAATGTCAACATGCTATCCTTGATGAACATGGATGCAAAAATTCTCACCAAAATACTAGCCAATAGGATCCAACAGTACATTAAAAGGATTACTCACCACGACCAAGTGGGATTTATTCCTGGGCTGCAAGGTTGGTTCAACATCCACAAATCAATCAATGTGATACAATACATTAATAAAAGAAAGAACAAGAACCATATGATCCTCTCAATAG